AGAATTTCTATAATATAACACAACAATGGTCCGACTGCGGGTATAACGTTTGTGATAGTGGTATTATATTATGTATCATTGGATTGGCGGACGGTAATCATTTACCATAAAGGTGGACCGTCAATTCAATCTAATTATATTCAAAATTTAAATCTACATTATCTAACAAAATAAGGTTCTATTTTTTAATTTGATATTTACAGAAATTGTACGATTACAAATCAGAAGCGAGTTTCTAGTATTTAAATATTTATTTTTACATTATGGCATGTTTTTGTGAATGTACCTACTCCTATTATATTTATTAGGTAATAACAAGGTTATTAACATTCACCTATAGGTACTGAAATGAAATACAACGACGTTCAAACGTATATTGGCGTCAACAAAAGTCTATAATTACATGTAGTACAACTAATAACATGACGATGTCAAATATATACCTACTACGTTTATTTACATTATTGTAACAACGTACATATGTCGTTCATGCACGAAGTTGGTAATCCCGGTTATAGAACGATAAAATTAATCATTCATTTATTAGTAACAAATGAGTAAGTCATTGTGAAATTGTTTTCTGAATTATATGTGGGAAGGAGGAATGTATACAAAACTAAAGACATTTATGCTCCTTTGTAATAATAATAATAACACAGGAAAATTTATATAATGTCATCTAGTCCCAAATAAAGTATAGCTTACTACTATACTTACTAAATAGGTATATTGTGTTCTTTTATTTTTATGGACGTTTGAATTACCAGGGGTATCAAAAGCTTTACTATTTGTACTAAACAACTGATAGAAATACATAAATAAATATATTTTTGTACATAGATAGGACCAATAAAAACAAACATATTCATTATGGAAATGTACGTATTATCCGAGGACATGAACCCGAAACCAGCGGTTACTATCCAGTCTGCTAATTCGCTGACTCCCGAGGAGGTCGTAAAAAATGTGTAGTCAGTAAGTAAAGGAAGATAGATAAATATGCCACAGAGCAATTAACTTTACGTTTTAGAGGAGCTGATAACGGCCTCATGAGAACTGAATCTAAATCAAGTTTATATATTTATACTTGTAATGCTTTTAAAAAAGAACAGTTTCACACAAAAGTTGATTTACGTAGGGCAGGCTTGCATATTTAGGAAAAACCTAAAAATATATTTATGTATGAAACAATTGCATGCGGTTTAAAAAGCATATGATTCAGTTTCATAAAAAAAACTTATTTTTTTAAATGACATCAGCCTTAAGCATAAATAAAATAGAATAGAAATAAATAACGGTAACATTTGACATAAACGAGTACCTATGTACCATAATATTATCTTAAATTAATTCTCAATAAGTAAATCACGTCCTTTGCTTCATTAAACAAAAGAACATAAGTCTATGCTTACTATTTACGGGTACTTGGCATATCTACTACTTTTATTTTTATTCTGGTTTTATTTCATTAACTCTGATAGCATCAGCCACCCACGCGGTGCCATAATGACTTGCCATAATCTAAACTGTATGTCTGATACAGTTGCGTACAAAAAGTTTATATTCCCGTTAACTATGACCTATTTTCTAACCTGACAATACTGCTATAATAAAACATCTATGGTAGGAAATGTATTTCTCAACCTAAAGCTGGGAGTTGTCAATTCAACAATTTTTTTTTATTACTGGATTTTAATTGTTAAATTTTGAATTTATTATTTAGAATGCATTAGCAAAGACCTAATGTAAAAACTTGAGAACGGCTGGACCGACGAGGACTAATTTTGATTTCAAAACATTTGTAGAGCTCCAAGGAAGGTTTAAATAGTGAGAAAATATGAAGAAATTGAATGGAAAATAGTCAAAACAACAATTTCATTTTCCCATACAAACTGTTCGTACCTGTTAAACAGGATGCGTTCAGAAATTTAATGCGTAACTATACTTTAATAAACCTTTGTAATATTATTTAATTTGAAATGTTTGAAGCGATACAGTGTTCGCGTGGTCAGCTACTTTAATATTTAATAATAACAAGAATAAAATCAAATCGATCCTATTTATTCTACTACTTTCCAAAGTATTTATTTCCATTTATACTTAATTATAATGTGTGTTTATTATTGCATATTAAAAGTTAAATAATCCGTTTATATCAATTTTCATGTGGGGCTTACTAAATTGTCTATTTGGTTGACTGGTAGGCGTTTGATCTTAAGTCATCTATACATTTATAAATATACATATGTGTATTAATAAACAAATAAATGTATGATAGAGTTTGATGTAGACTGTACCATCTAGTATTACAATTATTGCGTCGCGCGCTGAGCGAGCTCACCTTCTCGGCTCTGCGACTTTCGAGAAAGTTAGTAAAAGGTCGTCATACTCGTAATTGTGAACGTCATTCAAATGAGCCTTTGTGCGGAAACAGACCAAATATTTGTAACACTCATATTTTTCAAGTAAACAAATAATTTCGAATAGCTGTTAATAAACATCGGTTTTACTAACCTCACTTAAACAAAAAATATTGTGAGTTCAAATCAAGCTGACACCAAAAACTTCTAATTGTCACATACAGCATAGTTAGTCTTCATTATGAATAATCTTAAATCTATATTGTGTCTCTTTCTACGTCTTTCATTGGAGTCTTGAACAGGGGTGCCCCTGTTTTCTTCCGTCTTCTCGTATGCTATACCTCCTTAGGAAGATGGAGTCAAGCTGGGCCAAACATTACAAAATTCGCGTCACAAACAATTCACACAATGCTATTTTGCAAGACCCAAGTTAAGTTAGCTAAAGTTTTTGTTATGGGTACTATGTAACTGATACACTACATATATTTTTACATGTAAACATAACATATTATACATAGATAATACCCAGACCGATACAAACAATTACATTCATGAATACAAATGTTTGTTCAATGCGAGGAATCGAACCCGCGACCATCGGAAGTAAGGCGGTGTGCTAAACCGCTTGACCACCGACAATGTAGTGGAGCGCATAACAACTGGCATTGACGACTGGATTGGTAAATACAAGGGGTGATTAAGCAACACGACAAATTGGGATGCAATGGCTTCTCGACCGAAATTAACATAATTATATAATTACGGAATTATATCTGGTAACGGAGCAGTCACACGAATTCGCCAGTAAAGTCTGGTTAACTGCATTTTTCTTGCGTTTTTGCTTCGGAATAACGCGTTCAAATGATGCAAGAGAACTTGCATGTGTAACGTCAGCAAATTAATTAAATATAATTGTACTCAAGGAATTTTACATCAAGATTTAGAATATAACTTTGTACGTTTATTTACATAGAATACTCGATTTAATTAGCAATTCGGATTAATAAATATGATTATAAAGTAATGGTTTTATTCAGTGAATTTGTCCGTATGTGTTGGGTTTTGGAAGGTGTGTCACACCGCTATACCATCAAATTAACCACACCTGATAGTAAGCAGGCAATATGATTCAAACATGAACGTCGTTAATACACGTCACTATGTTAATTAACGAATTGATATTTATTTATTTCTGCTACCATTACTATGTGTGTGACCACCTATAGTTAGACAGATATTTAGTCACTTCCTACTATTATTGAGTCTACACACATATTGCGACACGTGTTTCGTCTCTAAACGCAAAATAAAACTTAATAGAAAATAGCGTAACGTGTGGAGATAGTCATATTACATCTTGAAATGATGTAGTTCCGCAACGCGTTTAAGAGCCTCTTGATCATAGAAACATGTTACTTAAACATATGTATATGTTAAAGATAAATTCTCAGTTTTGATAGTGATTATTTAAAACACACAAAAATATGACAGCACTGTTATCCTTTTGTTATGCTCGAGTTTCAGTAAGTACATTTTTTACTGACCGTACTATATTTAATTAAGTTGTTAGCAGTCGCCAGGCGATGTTGATCGTTCCTTTTACGCACCAAGAATGCAATACTGATCAGAGCATAAAATGGGATTAATATATTATTATGACGACTCTACGACATTTTTCTGTTCTTTTCACACCCATTTACTCATAAAATGTAAAAAAACTCTATATGTTTTCAATAGATTGCAAAACAAGTTCATAATAGAACTGCATTAATTCAATTTAGCTTTAATTCGATCTAATTAGTTCGAGATTAGATCTATACAGAAATAAAACAATTTCATATATAATTATGAAAATCAATATGGTAGATATCGCATAATTTCTAAAAAAAATATATACAGTTTTAAAGTATTTTTTTAAATTGCAAATTTGTAATGTATCTATTTATATATACACATGTTTAATAGTTAGCATAAAAACTCAAATGAATAATCTACCCAAATCTTTATTTGACAGCAGTTCTGAAACATACCGATAAGCAACTAATTCTAGGTTATTTGAAATAAATAAATATGCAAATCGGAAGATTACCTATGCATAGTTAACGAAGTTGATCTCGACATTCGACCTATCTGTTGAACATTTGAAATTCAAATAGTCTCGGTGAAGATTAGGTACAGATTCTGCTGATTCATTTGGCTTTGTTTTTAGGACTTAGTCCTTTTTCTTTAAAAATATAATTTATGTGTATTTCGTTAGTTATATAAGCTACTGTCCAACGATGCTGGCCACGAGTTTTTTGGTAAATGTCCATGTATTAATCTAGAATATCGTCTAAACGTTAAGTACAAATTAGTCCTATAGATTTTGCGATAAAATTAAAAAATATACAACAGCTTCATAAACTTATTAAGTTTTCTATTTCGAACAAATGACGGACTTAATTTTTTCTAAAGATTAGAACAAAATTTAGTTTAGCATGTGTAACCAAGTAAATAAAAAGATGAAGAATTCATAATTGTTACATTTTAATTTCCAATGAATATTTTATTTAAGTAAGAGCTTTTTATTCCCAATAAAATAAGAAACAAATTTCAATACCCAACAATAAACTAAAATAGAAACAAAAAAATCTCACTCACCTAGCATTTTACTTAAATCGGCATTATGCAGGTCCGGATTCTCGTCAGCCAGCTTCTTTCTCTCCACCTTCGCCCATACCATGAAAGCATTCATAGGCCTCCTGATCCTCGCCTCCTTTAACGCCTTGGCTTGTCCCATTTTTGTTGTAAATGGTGCTCTAGCGTACTGTTGCGTGGAATAATCCCGTGATGCCTCATAAGGATTTCTATAATCATACTGTGCTCTGTAATCCAGGCCGTAGGGTAATGTCGACCACACCACAAGTTCTGGGGTGGTCTGGTCTTGTACCGAGTCTGTACTGTTTTCCACTGCGCCTTGCACGTATTGTTCGTAAGTGCGATGGTAGGTAGTTGGTGATTCAGCTATGCCCGCTCCCCCGGAATCCATCATACTGTTGAGAAAGAAATTATTTAATTTGTGAGGTAAAGAATAAAAAATATGTTCGCCAGTCAGGGATAACAATAATTTTACTTCAACTTCCGCATGTTGAAGTAAAAATATTTAATTGTCACTTAATACTTCACTATAAAGTCCATACTTGGCTTTCAGCTTATTATGTAAACTATGCAATATTTTAATTATATATTCACTATAACTTAGGAAATGTCTTTTAGAAGAAAGGGGAAAATTTGGTATCATATTACTTAACAAGACGCAAGTTTCTTGCTCGTTTTTCTTGTGATAAGTCTGCGTTCTGAATAAGTGGTAGAACAAAAAAATATTACTATTAAAAAGTGCTTATATTAAGAATATTTAAAAAAAATATTATTTCTATTTCGATTTTATAGCTTACTAGTTGTATTTCACGAGTGAGACACGGCCGTTCTTTCTTAATACTAATACTGTCGTCTTACTTTTAAAATCGATCAAATGTTCAGTTGAAATAGTGCTTGTTAAGTTTAATAATAAAATGTGGCAATACATTGCAAATTGATTGCATCCGCGTAGTAAAGGCTAGTGTTGCCACTTCGCAGTAACAGTCATGTCGGGTGTAGGAATTTGTAAAATCCAGTGTTGGTGTCGGTTTCCGCAGCATCGAGTTAGCGTGAACGATAGCAGGAAACATAGTAAGACGACACAGCAGACGGTAACTGTTACTGCTTATAGCTAATTAATCGGTATATGAAATAGGACCAGATACACTAGAACACTGTTGCTACGAACAGCTAGGATTTGATCAAATGTTTGCTGTTGATATTTTGTACAATGTTTGGTTGGTAATGATGATGAGGTGTCTTAAACATTTTATATTTAATAAAAAATATTTTTGCGTAGTATCTAGTTATTACCGTATATTGCTATTATAACGTTAAGTGGGTAATATAAATAATAATTTTATTAAATAAAAGCCAATAAAATAAGTAATTTTTCAATCTCAGTAATATTGTATTCTGTGTAGTATATCAGATTCTATTAAACGAATAAAATATTCTATAAGTCGTACGGAGTTGGTCGGAAATGGATCATGAAAGTGCAATTTTTTTTATAACAATTATAAAAATTAATGATTGATGAAAATATTTTTCAATCAATTACAACTAACCATATTCAGTAATATTTTCAATGATGATTTATTTGATCATGAACTTTTGAAATACAGCAAATTGTTACTGCTGTCAAGCAGCTTACTTTATAAACTGCGTTAATTGAAGGTGGGATATAACATCTTGGTCCTCCGGGATAGCAATGCAAATCGGTAGTGCTGTTCATTGTATTGGCGATGATTGTCAGCTTATTTGCCATTCTATAAAAACCCACTGTCGTCAAAGCCTTTATTGATAATGTCATGCTTATTCATAAAATACAGTGGCTACCAAATACAGGTATTCAAATTTCGTTCCGTCCAGGAAGACACGAGTACCAATACGATTGTTCCGAGCATGTAACGTGAAACAAATGAGTAATTCCAAAATTATAGGAAAGTACGGCGCCGGGAACGACGCGACACCGCAGTTTCTCAGAAGGCGGCGCGGGCGCCGTGTGGGAACCTAGTGGCATTGTTCGTATGATTTCACTTGATTCTTTCATCTCTGACATGTCAGCTATCTACTTTTGTTGAACCATACCGCAGGTTCACGATAACTGTCTTTGATGGCAACTACCGTAGCTCGGTACCGTGTCATATACGAGTGATAGCAGAAAAAGTACTCATTACTACCGGTTGAAGTGTCATGATAATTTCTTATACTGATTGCCTTTATCTATACTAATATTACAAAGTTACTATATTCCGCAATGTCTGGTTTTTTTTCGAGATAAAAGATATCCTATATCCATATCCTCGTGATTTAATCTATCTACATGCCAAATTTCACTAAGCGCCGTCTAACATTTTAGCCCTAAAAACGTGCTTTCGCATTTATAATATCAGTATGGATGGTCATAATTAATTTTATATGAATACTGGCTGCGATTTCTTCTGCTTTTCAAAAATCAAACGAAATTACAAGGAAGAGCTAGTATTTTTAGTTTTATAGGCATTTATAAAAAAACAAACTAACTGAATTAGTAAACGCGGCTTAGACATATAGATAAATCAGTTATTATCGACCAACGAGAGTAGAAAATTATAAAAGTACTAATATTGCTATTTAAAAATAAGGGCTTAATAGTTAGATGGTGAAATTTATTTCATTTTTAAATCCAAATAATAACTAAATTAAAATAAAATTTGACGAAAATACTTGCAAAAAAAAAATTTTGAGGTGGACCATTTAGGGGTACGAAAAATAAGTTATTATTCTCAGACTTACTAAGCGTTCTCTAATTACAAACACTATGACATGAGAATTGTTTTATTCGTTTTGGTAATTGTCTTCTATGCTTTGTTTAGAACCCTTAGTATAAGTTCAATATAATTAGGAACAAGATGGCGCTATGTAAACTGTCCTGGATTAAGTATTATTAATTTAATCATTTTAATTGTTGGTTACCTATGTCCTTTCAGGCATAAAATAACAATTCTCATTTAGAAATACATAATGTTAGTAGGTTACGTATAATGTCGTTGTAAAATTGGAAACGGGAATGTTAATCGGTAGTAATTTATAGTCATTGCACAAACTTTAGTTAAAATTAGGTATAATATATATAATTAATTACAGTTTAGACCTTGGTATTTTATATTTTAAACATCTCAAGAATATACAGGCGTGTTAAAATAAACACATTACTCGCCTGTGCGTATCGCAGTCGGGTAATAATGGTTTGAGCTGTCTTGCTCTGAGAGCAAGAAAAAAAAGTACTGTATTGTAATTCCTTATTAAAAGAGCAACATTAACTTTCTTGCTCGTTCCTCTTTTGCGACAGCTTCCCGAATAAGCGGTAGATTGAAAAAAAATTACGACTAATCAAATGTTAAATAATGGGTTTTCTATACTATATTAAATTCTTATGTCTAAAACATTAAGTAATTGCACTAGGTCTAAAATAAATATAAGTTTTCATTTTTTTTTTACTTTCATCACAGTGAGGCAAAGTAGATACTTATTAGTTTCTTGCCTCGCGATATCTTAATTTTTGACCCGTTCAGGTTAACAGTGCTATATTAGATATTTTTATTTTATTTGTTACTTGTTTGCCATTTCAATTACATAAAAAACTAAGAAGTTGACAGCCCACTAGATAGTGAACAGTTACCATGATATACATGAACGCCAATGGTACCACTCATGCGTTGCCATCGCTAACCGATACGCATCTCAAAGCATGCTGCTTGTACCTACTGAAATTAAGAAGAGGCATCCACGCAGACTTCATATAAAATCTATCTCAGTAAATCAAACATTTTGCTATAAATATTTTCTAAAACAAAACCACACCCCCTTTTTAGGTACAGTAATTATTTGTTCTGCAATCAAAATACATTAGGTAAGTTAACAAAACATAATAATTTCATCATCGACATAGTTCAGGATTACTAAAGATATCGACTTGTACACTATTCTATTGTTTTACGTTCATTACCATGTAAATATAAATAAAAAGTCAATACAATCAATTCTATTGGAAACACCGCATTCCGAACGGTCTATACAAAACTAATAATAATGAGAGAAAACATTTAATGTTTTCACTATTGTCTGCTATTCGTAATGCTTAGGAATCTAAATCTTTATAGGGTCAAGTGTATTATAATAAGAATATTTATAATATTATATAGCCTTCGAATTCATATATCGCCAATAAATGTATACGCATGTTGAATAATAATGATCCAAAATGCATCCTTGATGTAATCGTATAGCATAATGGTCATCGCTATAATTATAATTGTAATGGATAAGATATTATTAAAAGGGGATTTTAATTAATTGTGATAATTCAAATAATGTTCTATAACAAAAATATCATTCCATATAGCGAATTATTATAGCGAATTCACCAGGAACAACGATGATTCCCAGGAGGGAATACATTGCTAGCAATAGAACTACTCCTTATTAACATTCCTCTCACCCAAGTAACAGTGTACTTGGATTACTTATTCACTTGAAATTTGTCGTTCATAAATGTTAAAAAGGTCTTATAGTAATAACGAAATTATATTAAAATCAAAATAACTAAAATATTCTGGTGTAAATAAAAGTATATTTGATAAACAGAAATATATATTCATTGATTTGATAAATATAACTTAGAATTTGAGTTTAATTTTACGAATGAATAAATCTTACCTTTATTTATTATTATTTATGAGGTAATAAAAAAGACAAAGAAATATATGCATGTATGTTAAAATTTACAAAAAGAGCATCAAGTTTTGTTTTTACTTGTCTTCAGTTTTGTAGTAGGTGGGATGAGACAAATATTATGTACAGTACATACCTACTCCTCAACTAAAATGAGGTTGTTTTTACGTACAAACAATTCAAATAACATGTCAAATATATAAAATTACAAGTTGACTCGAAAAATATTACGGTATCATAAATAGTATTTTCATTGATACTAAAGACCTGAAGGTACCATATTGTACTTTAAACAGTTATTTCATATAAGTGAAGGTTTTCTTTCGACTGTAGAGTTCTATAATTTATATTAGTATAAAACTCTCCAAATGTGACCTAATCTGTACCGATTTTCAATATTATTTTTACTCTGTTCCGAAACAGATATAGGACAGTTTTAATTACGTTCGTGGGTCATAGTAAGTCTACACTCAACTTATAAAGAGCGCAAAACAAAGGCTGTATATTGTTTTTTTAATTAAAGGTTTTATTATTGCAGTAAAGTTTTGGCACGTTGTTCTATTTCATATTATTAAGAAGCTTACACATTATAAATAAGGTGTTAAGGCAGCAAATTAGTACCTTGGAAATTTTGACTGGGTGATTCGTATTTTCAAACATCCAGAAACAATAGGTATTGTTGACAAAACGGCCTGTCAGC